GGGGGGTGAACAAAGGCCTCCTGTAGCGAATCAATGTGTTTTTGTAAGAAAAACATCCATATTCAAAACGTAATAATCACTTGAATCTAGCTTGCGCCAACAGTTGTACACGGAAGCAGTTCCGGGCGGATGACGTATGAGGTCAGCGTTGCGCATGCGCCGGTGAGTCTCGTGAAGATCTCTCCGCGTGCGTCACTTCTGAGCGGCGCATGCGCAAAGCCGACCTCATACATCATCCGCCCGGAACTGCTTCCGTGTACAACTGTTGGCGCAAGCTACATTAAAGTGATTGTTACGTTTTGAATATGGATATTTTTCTTACAAAAACGCATCGATTCGCTACAGGAGGCCTTTGTTTACCCCCCAGAGCCGTGTGAGACACTTTTTTATGAATGGGCGCTTTTTATTTAACTTCTTTTTGACTGGTGCATGCACCACTTGCTGAGTGGCATTAAACAGCTTGAAAGATCAAAGACAATTTTTAATATAACTCCGACTGAATTCGTCTGAAAGAAGAAAGTCATATACACCTAGGATGACTTGAGGGTGAGTAATTTATGGGCTAATTTTCACTTTTGGGTGAACTAACCCTTTAACTATTTATTTAGAGAAAATCAATTGATAGCACCTGACTATTACACTCTGACAGGCAAGAATAGATACAGACAAATTTGCATATTTATTGCATGCTGGTGTTATAGGAAACTGAGAAATTATGGATAGATATGATGCTGAAGAGATTGAAGAGAAATATGTTTATATTTGCACACACTTCAGGTGCTGAAACAGCAGCATTCTCAATAAATCTTGAGTTCCATCTGTCCCTTTCCATCTCTCTCTGTCTCATTTCATATTTACTCTCTTGAGGGGAGAAATAGGAGGACCAGGCTAATAAGATTCTCTCAGGCAATCTTCAAACACAAGATGACAGATCATATTTTTGAACCACATTCATCTGCAGTCAGTCAGGTCTGTTTCATCCAGGTCCATGTGTTATTTTTTTGATAGTCCAAGAAAAGCAGACAGAAAATCTTTCACTTCTTCAAGAGGAAATGAGTGGCTTTCAATGCAGATTATTCCAGTGCCACTCTCTGTCCTTCATTTCCACACTTTGCCTCTTTCCTTTCTGTTGAGGATGAAGTTCAATTACCCTCTTGTCAAACAACATAATTTTCAGGTAAACTGAGCCGTGAATTGATTTGGCCCACTCTCTGAAAGCTGTGCAGTCAAACCCAAGTAATTGATGGGTTTGTGATTTGTGGCTCCACACTCACTTAACGCCAACCACAGTAATTATTTATTGGCCTGTGCGTGAGACTGGCACTGCCATTCACTTTTCACTCAGTTGCTGCTCCAGCTCATCTTTCTTTGGTATTTTTTAAATACTTTTTCTTCACAATTACTAAATTTTCTAGTCTGTCCCAGGACTGTAAACTTGATTAGACAAACCATAAAATATAAAAACATATAAGTTAATAAAGGTACAGATTTATGACATCATATTAACATTCAGATTGCAGAATCATCTGATTGTGTACAAAAATAATAAACACTTATTTACATTTTTTTCCCCCTCCCCATTCTTCTTTTTTAGAGCCGGAAACATGCAAACAAAGTGCGTCTTTATTACATGTTGCATCCAGTAGATGGGGGATGTCCAGCTAAGAAGCTCAGAACAGATGACGTGAGTATTTCATCCTATTCTTTTTTTATTACTATTACAAATGACACCTCTGTAATGTGTTCATAAATGACTTGCCCTGATCCACTCTTTTTAAAGATCAGGTTGCTAAACCTTTTTTCTTTAAAGGAGTTCTAGTCGTTGCTCTCCACAGCCAACTTTTTTTTTTTTTTTTTTTACAATAATATGCTTCATGAACTCCAACCATTAAAAAGCACTTCATTTTATGCTTTCTTTAATGCAAACATTTAATATAATAGATTGAACTTGTGTATGCAAATTTCTTTTGAAATCAAAGTAAATAAATTTGAATTACAAAGAAGCAACCTGCATCTGTGGACAGTTTGGCTATTATTAATGTATCACATTTTCTGCCATATTAGTGAGTGCTATAGAATTTCAATGTGCACTTTAGTTTCTTTATGACAGTATTTAGGTGGTATTTAGCAGATTTTGTATTTTTTATTTTAAGGGGATGTTCATGTAGGATGCGTTCTTGCATTTAAAAATAGGTAGTTGGAGTACAATGAAATGAAAATGTGTTGTTCATTGCGAAAGAAAGAAAAAAAAAAGCAAGACATGTCAAGACACCTGTCTGAAACGTATTTAGACAGAAACTTATTTTTCTTTTATTGCATGGTTTTTCACTTGTTTATAGCTGGGATTATTTAATTGTGGTAATGAGTGAAATCATAACTAGTTCCCCTAAAATCAAGTCCTCCTGGAAGAGCTCTGGCCAACCCAGAGTAGAAAAACTTCTTTATTGTACGTTTGTTAGCGTGGTGAGTACTTAGAGTTACTGGTAACACTTTCGTATAGGGACCAATTAATGCGTTCTTGCATTTAAAAATAGGTAGTTGGAGTACAATGAAATGAAAATGTGTTGTTCATTGCGAAAGAAAGAAAAAAAAAAGCAAGACATGTCAAGACACCTGTCTGAAACGTATTTAGACAGAAACTTATTTTTCTTTTATTGCATGGTTTTTCACTTGTTTATAGCTGGGATTATTTAATTGTGGTAATGAGTGAATAACTAGTTAGTTCCCCTAAAATCAAGTCCTCCTGGAAGAGCTCTGGCCAACCCAGAGTAGAAAACCGTCTTTATTGTACGTTTGTTAGCATGGTGAGTACTTAGAGTTACTGGTAACACTTTCGTATAGGGACCAATTATAACTATTAACTACTTGTTTATTAGCATGCCTATTATTAAAATATTGGCTGTATATTAGTACTTAGAAAGCACATATTATTCATGACCATACTGTATTCTACATCCCTAATCCTACCCAATACCTAAACTTAACAACTACCTTACGATAATAAGCAGCAAATTTGTACTGCATTGTCACTTTGAGTTAATAGGTGATCTTATGTGGGTTCAAGCTTGGGTTTATGAATGGAGCAGTTTTTAAAGGAAGGCCAATTCAAGAAACAAACAAGAAATTCAAGAGTTCAAATTCAAGAAACAAACAAGAAAGTTCAAGAAAGTCTAACTCAACTCTGAACTTCATCTTCTGAGATGAGTCTCGCTGAGGTTATAGTATGCTTCTCTCAGTAGGATAAAGCAGGCTTCTGCTTTATTGCCATGTTTGATGGGCTATTCACACAACGAGAGGGGTTCATAAACACAAGGATGTGTGAATGTTGCTGGTATCAGCCTTTTTGCGCTCTCGGCTGGGCAGAGAAAGTCTATGATGCCTGTGGTTTTTGCATGTGGTAATGAGTGAAATCATAACTAGTTCCCCTAAAATCAAGTCCTCCTGGAAGAGCTCTGGCCAACCCAGAGTAGAAAACCGTCTTTATTGTACGTTTGTTAGCATGGTGAGTACTTAGAGTTACTGGTAACACTTTCGTATAGGGACCAATTATAACTATTAACTACTTGTTTATTAGCATGCCTATTATTAAAATATTGGCTGTATATTAGTACTTAGAAAGCACATATTATTCATGACCATACTGTATTCTACATCCCTAATCCTACCCAATACCTAAACTTAACAACTACCTTACGATAATAAGCAGCACATTTGTACTGCATTGTCACTTTGAGTTAATAGGTGATCTTATGTGGGTTCAAGCTTGGGTTTATGAATGGAGCAGTTTTTAAATGAAGGCCAATTAAATTCAAGAAACAAACAAGAAAGTTCAAGAAAGTCTAACTCAGCTCTGAACTTCAGCTATCTTCTGAGATGAGTCTCGCTGAGATTATAGTATGCTTCTCTCAGTAGGATAAAGCAGGCTTCTGCTTTATTGCCAAGTTTGATGGGCTATTCACACAACGAGAGGGGTTCATAAACACAAGGATGTGTGAATGTTGCTGGGATCAGCCTTTTTGCACTCTCGGCTGGGCAGAGAAAGTCTATGATGCCTGTGGTTTTTGCAGATGTTACATGTTCTTTAGACAGCTTCCAAACAGACCAACAAAGCTCTCACCGCAGGAGACCAAATGCACATCTAAATGTTTATGCGAGAGTCAGAGAATGCAAAATCGTAGCCATCGGCTATGGGATACGGTTAGAATTAAATGATATTGAATGCTGTATATGTTTTATTGATATTCTGTAGGGTCACAGTAATTGTATACATCATTAGACAAGCTACTGAGGTGAGGACACTGGCAGAGAATTGCAGTAATGAAGGTGATTAGTATACGATTATTGTGTAGGGAACCACCACGTTCAATGGCCAGATTTCAAAAGACTAGCGTGCTGCTTTTGAGTTCTTCGACTGAACTTTAACACTTAGCTTGTATCAGATCGATAGTAGCAATGAACAGACATTCAAATAGTCTCTGCAGACAAACTAGACTTTGTGCAAGTTGGACAGCAAATATTAATAAGCCATTACCCGCTGAAGATGCAGAAATATGGACATGTCTTGTCAATGAGTACAGACTGGTAAAACTGGCATTATTTTTCAGAAAGAAAAGAGAGAGAACAAAATTAAAAGTGGCTACATTTAAGAGACTAGTTAGGGTGCTTTCAGACCTGTAGAATGTTGGCTTTTTAATGAATAAAATCCCTATTTTGTAACAATGTTTTACGCTTTCTTATACATATGGTAACACTTTATTTTAAGGACCAATTCTCACTATTAACTAGCTGCTGATAGCATGCATATGACTAACATATTGGCTGTTTATTAACTGTATATTATACACTCTTTGGTTTTGAACTGCAATAATTAATGTGCTCGCCTCCAGAATTAGACATTATTGCTTTTTACATTATGCATTTCCCATTATGAATTATGATACAGCTTGGTTAGATTCCTTTCTCACCACAAGTGAGCCACTCCAGAGTTCGTTTTTTTAATCGAGATGACACCACCTCATTCAGGCACTCTCTAAAATATAGCATGTAAGTCATATTAACTAATTTTGTTACTTTTTTTTTTTAGTGGGGAGAGAGAACTGTTCAAGTCTTTAGTTTGAATTAATTACATTTGAATGTTTAGGGTAGGTTTTCCCACTTAAATATTGAGTTAATCCTCTTACACGCTCTTATCACTAATCAGTTAATGTACTTCTGAAAATCAATATAAAAATAGTGCAAGATGTGGAATTTTTGTGATTACCTTTTCTCTGTCATTAACCTTTAAACGTGATAGAGAAAAACCAAGTCAGGAGGCGTTCAGTCAAAATCAGCACTTTTTACAGTGGGACAGAGGGAGTAGAATGGAACTGAAAGCAATTATTTTTCCACTACATTGCTCTTTCTGATATTTATAGATCAATGAACTCTACATGACTACTGTTGTGTGAATGCTGTTGTAATGTTTTTGGCTCCACAGCAAGAAAAAAAAAACAACTGAAAGTTTTGCGCCAGCAATTTTGCTTCAGTGTAAAAAGCTTAGACATACTGATTTTCTTGATTTCTTCAATAACAATGTTGTGTGAAAATTGTTTTTCCAAGCCATTCTTTAAAAAAATGCAAAACTACACCTTCTACAGTTTAAATGTTAAGGGGAGTGCTTCATAATTAAAGGTAAGTAATTTCATTGTATTGTCAACCAGTCCAACTGTACAGTACCTGTCAGTCAATGCTACACACAAAGTGCTGCCTGCATTTTCTTTAGATTCTTTCCCAGAGCACAGGGTTGTATGAGGGTAAACTGGCCCTTGACCAGCGGAGAACTAAAATTCACCTGCATTAAAGAGTCAGTAAGCAGCCAAGTTCTAACAAGCTGTCCTCTGCTCTCTCAACGCCTAATAAAGTGGCAGCAGATCGTACAGGAGATCACTGGTCACATCCATCTGCTTAACACAAATCAGCTGTCTGCAGCAGCTACTAATAGCTACATGGTCCCCTAAGGACACTTTAAAAATCTCTCCCCAAGTCTCCAGCACACTGTAACTCAATGCAAGGGCTGTGGCGGAGGATACAATTAGCGGCCTGGGACAACTTTTGCACTGATCGAATAGCCCATCAGATACTTACTCCTATTTAATTAGCGGTGATTAAATCAACCCCTGCCGGGGCTCGTGTTTCCAGGGGAGAGCAGGGCAGACGGAGCGTGTGTGGAGGACAAGAACGAAAGTAGAGAGAAGAAAGTGAGCTGGAACTCGAGCCTGGATCTTCAGCTTTTGTTCTAGACTTTGTTTCATTCAGTTAATGACAGATCAGTGACTGTGTGTGGAATGTCCAGACAGCCTGAGAGTGATACAGCAGTTTCCTCTTTACATTGACATTTCAGTTTACGCTTCTCTCTTGGTTATCAGCAGAAGTCATTTTGTCAGGGTTCCACATGTATTAATAATCACAATGTATATGGCAAACCTATAAAAACACTGAAAAAGTAATGGGATGCATGCATAGATGAAGCTTTGTTTGAAGGGGACATCGGATGCCTATTTTCCAAGTTGGTATGATTCTTTAGGGTCTTCATAAAATGTCTGTAAAATGTGTGTAAAACAACACCCTTTTTACCTGGTCAAAAACAGCTCCAGCTCACTGAATGACACCATTTCAGACTCGGACAGCCCATAAAAAAACTGCCTG